CATGAGTTTGTTGGTATAAGTGTGTGGTTTTGTGAGTTTATTGAAGTGCTAGTGTGTGGTTTCATCTATAACTGCAAGTGTGTAGTTTTGTTAAAACTGTAAAAGGTAAAGTTTTTAATTGCTCACCACATCTGTAGCATTGACATTAGGTTTTTTATTTGAAAGTCTGAACTAAGAGCATTGCTTCACTATTTTAAAGTTTTACTTGAAAGCTATAAAGCTTCACCCAAAGCTAACTTTGATTATACTAGTACCTTTTGCTTGTAAGTATAATAATTGTTATAGACTGTCTTACTTTGATCATAACCCTTTTTCTAATACTCTTTATTTTAACAGATGTGAATTTTTTATTTGATAGTACATCAATAGCCTTTAGGTTTTGTATTGTGATATCGTTGAAGTGCAAGAAGTAGTTTTGTTGAATATTTAATAAAGCTATAAAGAGGTAAAGATCTCTATTGCCTATTATATTCACAGCATTAATATTGGAATTTTTATTAGAATCTGAATTAAGAGCATCAGATTTCAATAATCTTTTTTTTGATGTTTATTTTAGCAGACGTATTTGATAGTACAAGTATTTCTTGGATAAGCGTGATAATTTTAAACTAAAGTCTCAATTTCTTGAGACATATTTATTAGATAAAAACTAACTCAAGTTTATTTAATATTACAAACTAGTTTTTTTTTGGGTTGTTATTTATGTTTTGCTATGAATGAAAACCAGGATAATTTTTTGACTGTAAATAAAAAACCAAACGATTGTCTTGTTATAAATGAAAAAAATAAAGAGCAAAAACATTTTATAGATGAAGCATCAAATGATTTTATGAATGAAGAAGCCATGGATTCTGAATTTGAAATAGGTTTGTTAAGAGTTTGTCATAGATAATAAGGATATTGTTAAATATGATGTTAATATGTTAATATTTTTTATTTTGTTATTAATAGAGAGCCATGATGATATGCTATCACAAAATGAAATAGAATCATTATCCTTATTTTCTAAAAAAAAATTTGGTACATAGAATGAATACGAGTTATTTCTTAATGAATAGGCAAAGGATAAAGAATTTTGTTTTATTAAAGGTTGTGTTACTTGTGAAAATAGAGTTCTTCATCGAAGAACTTATTTATATAATTATGGAGAGTTTTATAAATCAAATACTGAAAAAGATAGTTACTAAAAAGACGCAATGACCTTATCTTGTCAATGACTCATGTTCTAAAATTAACAATATAAAACATTTTATATTTATTACCAAATAGTTGATATTCATAAAAACCATTTATTGAATCCAAGCAGAATTATATTTGAAGATGAAAAACAATTTACTGCCGAAATGCTGGCAGATATAAAATTTATAACTAAAAATTGCAAATTTGGAGCAACTGTACAAAGAAAGTTCCTAGAAAGCAAATATTCAACGCAAACAATATTCTCAAAAAACCTGTATTCTGTAATCCAAAAATTTCGTTCTACTAACAAATCATTGCTTAATGATGCGGCAAAGATATGATCTAGTTTATTATTATATAAGCAAATAATATAAATTAGGTTTGATTGGTTTGATTGATATATTACTTTATAGATTTCCAACTGGCTTGACCAGAAAAAAGATATGGATTCTTGTTGGGTTGTCATACGTAAGTTTGATGAAGACAATACCTTAACGTATTTACTATGGATGACACCAGGTCAAGTCAAAAATTGGATCCAATACTCAGACTGTATTTTACATGATGTTACCCACAAGACTAATCGTTACAGGATGGTATTGGTATTGTTTGTTAGGTTTGATAGTAATCGCAAAAATATTTTATTAGTACAAGCACTTCTTTGTGATGAAAGTGTTGGCTCATATAAGTGGACTTTTACAGAAATTATAAAGCTACAAATGTTTATCCAGCTATTATTCTTACTGATGCTGATTCAGCAGTTGATGCTGCAGTTCGTCAAGTATTTACTATGATATATCTGATTCATTGTGCTTATCATTTAATACAAAATCTACATAAAAATTTCAAAAAGCTATTAGGCAATGTATATCAAAACTTTCTTAAAGGCTTCTATATTTGCCGTAACAGTTTCTCTGAAAATTTTTTTCATCAACAGTTTAATAAACTTACTCAAGATTATTC